GGCCCCCGGACCGGCGGCCGGCCCGGGAGCGCGCGCACGCGGCTGGTCTCGGCGTGCGCAGGGACTCCCGGCCCCGCCCAGCAACAGAGAAGGCGCGCTGCCATTGGCCGAAGGACGCGTCCAAGCAGCTCCGGGGTGCCATTGGGAGAGGGCGAAACGTCATTCCCGACAGGCACTACGCGGGTGCGGATGCCTGGGGCGGGGCGGCTGGCTGGCTGGCCGGCTGGCCGGCTGAGGGGCCCGTTCGAGCGCGGGAGCTTACCCGCTGAGGGGTCGCCGCGGGCTGAGTTGCTTCTCACATGGAGACTCTGTTAGGTTTGGAAGTGGACTTGGAGGCACGCTGGCCGCCGCCAGGTAGCTCGCTTCCGAGGCCAGCTGCCCACGGACTCTTCTGGTTCTCCGCAGGCTTGCAGGCAACCGTGCCCTGTCGAACGCGCATTCCTCCTGCGATGATAGCCAACAACTAAAACGTGCTGTGGGCGGGCCATTTTCCTCAGGCCTGTACCTGTGTTGGCACTTGTTTTCAAAGTAGCCTTAGCAGGAATACTAAATAGGCCAGGAAAGAACTCCAGCAGCTATGGACCGTGAGGTGACCTTGGGAGGTGGGAGGACAGGCACAAAAGCCTAGGGGCCTGGAGGAACTTAGCAACCCGCCGGAATCCTGAATAGGAGTAGTGCCAGCATGGACCGTGGTGGATGTGAATATTGGAGAGCCACCTGTCTGAGCCACCTTATTTTGGGGCTCAACAAACGCAGAAAACTTCTGATGAGCACTCCATACCAGGCTGGCCAAGATTTACCCACCCACCTGTATACACTTCTTTCTTCCTCTGCCCAATCCTGATTCCTTCCCTTTCACAGCTGTCTATAATGAACAGACCTCATGGTGCGTCTCTGCATCTACTCCTGGAGAAACCATTCTGTGACGGTTAAAGCGCGTGCTACGATGAAGTCTTGAGACCGAATCACTCACCAGAGAAGTAGAAGAATGAACAAGTCAAATGGAATACACTGGCAGGCAGAGATCAGGCATTCCACATACAGTGAAGAGAGTGGTTATGAGGAAGAATGGGATTGGATACCCAGGTTCTTAAAAACAATGGACAGCTGATGGCAAGCAACCATCCAAAGCCTCAGGAATGTTTTTGGTGGTGATTGTTCTGCGCACACAAGAAAACCCTCATTTGCAGCAGGGTGATTAAGACAACACTAGGCCTAGAAATTAATTGAACTGAATATTGAACTGAATTCCCAAAACTAAAACACCCAAAGAAATCAATCTTTTTTTTTTTAAGAGATTTTTTTGCTATAGGGTGTATGTGCTTGCCAGAGACAGAAAGCAAGAAGTCAACACCCCCCCCCAGGAGGATGGCCATGCCACAACTACTTCATTTTCCTCTCAGGATCTCAGGCACACACACACTATGTGCCTGGTGTGAGTAGGGTGAGTTTAAAGCAAGCCAGCGGGTTCAAGACTCAAACCACGGTTGACAATGTGAGTCCAGTAATGTAACCATTATGCCATCTGTTGGTCCCCAAATCAATTATTTTTCTCCAGTTTGGAGCCCTGGTTGGAAAAAGTTGCTGACACATGAATTGGGGGTATCAATGCAAACGCTTTCAAAGGTTTGGGTTCCCCGCAACTGCCTTGCATCTTCAGAGCCTGTCAGTGTGGCCCACCTCTTCCTATTAATCTAGCACTCCTCTTCCTTCCCAGTTACTGAACACTAGATGTATAATTATGGTTATTTCTTGGCATAATTTAGCTGGAACCTTAATGAGATAAAAAAGACTATATATCTGCCTCCCTCTGTGGGCTGGGGAAAAAGCTGTGTAGTAGTAATTTGCTGGGCCTACTGTAGCAAAGCACTACAAAGTGGGCAACTTAACAAATTTATTGTCTTGGTTCTGGAGGTTAGATGTCTGAGATCAAGGTGTAGAATGGTTGGTTCTATGTTGGCTGTGAGAGACAGTCTTCCATATGTCTCTTTCAGCTTCCAGTGGTTTGCTAGCAATCTTTAGTGTTCCTTGGCTTATACACATCACCCCAACCCCTGCCTTCATGTTCACGTGGTGGTCTTCTTCTGTGTCTGTCCTCATTTCTCATTTTACTAAGGACACCAGTCATGCTGGATTAGGGCCCATCCTAATGGACTCCTAACCAGTAACCTGATTGTCTGTAAAGACCAATTCCCAATATTTACAGGTATTGGAGATTAGAACTTGAGTTTTGGGGTTTTTGTTTTGTTTTGCAGGAGACAGGTGGGTAGTAGTGGTGGTGGGGAAAAACATAATTGAACACATCAAGCTATTATGCTGGCAGGAGCTGGGAAAGTGTATGTGGGGCTGGATTATGAGGGTGCTTAAAAGGAGTTGGGATGTAAAATAGAGTAGAAGAGTTTACTGACATATGAGTAATCTTTCAAGACATGAGATTTAACATTC